TGGTATACCAAATTCCTTTCTAACTCTGGAAAGTCCTTACCGAATTCCTTTCTAACCACTTTTTCCTTCCTGGCCCTGGCGCTTCTCGGGCCATTCTGCTTCGATTGTCTCTGAGATGCAGAATTACTCCTGGTATTCGAAATTCCTTTCTAACTCTGAAAGTTCCTTATCAAATTCCTGTCTAACTCCTTTTTCCCTACCTAGGCTCTGCCTAGAAGGGTTCTTACTCTCTTAGCTTAAAGGGGCCGGTCAATGGAAAGCGCCCCGGGCGGTTCCCCCGGTCCCCGCCCCGCGGTTCCCCCAGTTGCGCCCCCTGGGTTCCCCTAGCTTAGCTTAGCTTAGCTTAGCTTAACCTACCTGAGCTTAGCTTAGCATAGCATAGCTTATCTCATCTTAGCTTAGCTTAGTCTAGCCCAGCTTAGCTTAGCTTAGCTTACCTTACATTAGCTGACCTTAGCTTAGCTTAGCCCAGCTTATATTAGCTAAACGTTGCTTATCTAATCTCAGCTTAGTTAAGCTAAGCTTAGCTTAGTTTAGCTTAGCTTAGTTTAGCTTAGCCTAGCCTAGCTTAGCTTGGCTTAGCGTAGCTTGGCTTAGCCTAGCTTAACTTAGCTCAGCTGATCGCATAGTAGCTTAGCTTAGCTTAGCTTACCGCAGTTTAGCCTAGCTTAACCTAGCTTAGCTTAGCCTAGCCTAGCTTAGCTTAGCTTAGCTTATCTCAGCTTAGCTTAGCTTAGCTTAGCTTACCTTAGCTATCTTAGCTTAGCTTAGCTTAGCTTAGCTGAGCTGAGCTTAGCTTAGCTTATGCTGCTTTCCTAGGGGCTCCAACTCCTAGGTAGGGTCGCGCTGGGATAATTTCCTTCCTGGCCCTGGCGCTTCTCGGGCAACTCTGATTCGATTGTCTCTGAGATGCAAAACTACCCCTGGTATTCGGAAGTCCTTTCTAACTCTGAGAATTTCTTATCCCATTCCTTTCTAACTCCTTTTTGCTTCCTGGCCCTGGCGATTGTCTCTGAAATGCAGAATTACCACTGGTATTCGAAATTCCTTTCAAACTCGGGGAAATTCCCTACCGAATTCCTTTCTAACTCCCTTTTCCTTCCTGGCCCTGGCGCTTCTCGGGCAATTATGATTCGATTGTCTCTGAGATGCAACATTGCCCTTGGTATTCGAAGTTCTTTTCTAACTCTTGAAACTCCTTAGCACATTCCTTTTTAACTCCTTTTTTCCTTCCTGGCCCTGGCGCTTCCCGGGTAATTCTGATTCGATTGCCTCTGATATTCAGAATTACCCTTGGCATTCGAAATTCCTTTCTGACCCTGAAAATTCCTTATCAACTTCCATTATAACTCCTTTTACCTTCCTGGCCCTGGCGCTTCTCGGGCAATTCTGATTCGATTGCCTCTGAGATGCAGAATTTCCCCTGGCATTCGAAATGCCCTTCTGACTCTGGAAAATCCTTATCAAATTCCTTTCTAACTCCTTTTTTCCGTCCTGGCCTTGGCGCTTCTCGGGCAACTCTGATTCGAGTGTCTCTGAGATGCAGAATTACCCCTGGTATACGGAATTCCTTCCTAGCTCTGGAAATGTCTCATCACATTCTTTTCTAACTCCTTTTTTCCTTCCTGTCCCTGGCGCTTCTCGGGCAAATCTGATTCGATTGTCTCTGAGGTGCAGAATTACCCCTGGCATTTGAAATTCATGTCTAACTCTCTTATGATTCGATTGTCTCCGAGCTACACAATTACCCATGGTATTCCAAACTTCCTATCTAGCTCTGGGAATTCCATATCACATTCCTTTATAACTCCTTTTTCCTTCCTGGCCCTGGCGCGTCTCGGGCAATTCTGATTCGCTTGTCTCTGAGATGCAGAATTACCCCTGTTATCCGTTTTGTTTGAACTCTGGACATTCTTTATCGCATTTATCTATAACTCCATTTTTCCTTCCTGGCCCTGGCGCCTCCCGGGCAATTCGGTTTCGATTCTTTCTGAGATGCAGAATTGCCCCTGGCATTCGAAAGTCCTTTTAACTTTTTGAAATTCCTGAACACATTCCTTTCTAATTATGTTTTTCCTTCCTCGCCCTGGCGCTTCTCGGGCAACTCTGATTCGATTGCCTCTGAGATGCAGAATTTCCCCTTCTAACTCTGGAAATTACTTATCGAATGCCTTTTCTACTTCCTTTTTCCTTCCTGGCCCTGGCGCTTCCCGGGCAATTCTGATTCGATTGCCTCTGAGATGCAGAATTACCCCTGGTATTCGAAATTCCTTTGCAACTCTGGAAGTTCCTTATCATATTCCTCTTTCCTTGTTCCTTCCTGGTCCTGGCGCTTCTCGGGCAATGCTGAATCGTATGTCTCTGAGATGCAGAAATGCCCCTGGCATTCGAATTTCTTTTCTAATTCTGGAAATTCCTTGTCACATTCCTTTCGAACTCCTTGTTTCCTTCCTGGCCCTGGCGACTGTCTCTGAGATGCAGAATTCCCCGTGGTATTCGAAGTTTCTTCCTAACTCTGGAAATTCCTTATCACATTCCTTTATAATTCCTTTTTCATTTCTGGCCCTGGCGCTTCTCGGGCAGTTATGATTCGATTGTCTCTGAGATGTAGAAGTACCCCTGGTATTCGAAATTCCTTTCAAACTCTGGAATTGTCTTATCACATTCCTTTCTAACTCCTTTTTTCCTTCCTGGCCCTGGCGCTTCTAGGGCAATTCTGATTCGATTGTCTCTGAGATGCAGAATTCCCCGTGGTATTCGAAGTTTCTTCCTAACTCTGGAAATTCCTTATCAGATTCCTTTCTAACCACTTTTTCCTTCCTGGCCCTGGCGCTTCTCGGGCAATTCTGATTCGATTGTCTCTGAGATGCAGAATTACCCCAGGTATTCGAAATTCCTTTCTAACTCTGGAGATTCCTTATCAAATTCCATTCGAACGCCTTTTTCCTTCCTGGCCCTGGCGCTTCTCTGGCAATTCTGATTGGATTGTCGCTGAGATGCAGAATTACCCCTGGTATTCGGAATGCCCTTCTAACTCTGGAAATGCCGCATCACATTCCTTTCTAACTTTTTTTTGGCCCGGCCCTTTTCGGGCAACCCCTTCGAATTCATAACCCTCCCAGGCCGCCGCACGCTAGCTCCGTCGCAGCTACAGCATGCCCGCCGCTAATAGTTATTTACTGTAGCACCCTACAGTACAGCTACAGCATTAATTGCTCAGCGAATGATTAATGCTTTTATTTAAAAGGTATAGTATCATTTTTGAATATTGTTTGAGCGCTCTGGGGGGTTGTTTTATTTTTCGTCCAAAATCCTTGTGTAGGGAGACGTGCCCGACCTGATGGTAGAGGCCAGGGCCGGCTGGAGCTGGGCCCAGCGATCCGATGTCGATGCGATCTGGGACGCTTCGCTGGTGCTCCGATCCGTTTTCGATCCGATCCGATCCGTTTTCGCTGCAGTGGGGCCCCATGCCAAGAAACATCCTGTTTTTAGTATCGTTTAACCGACCCCCATCCCCATCCCCATCCCCTTCGAGACCCCCACCAAACAACCCCCCAGTTGGGGATACACCCCTCGAAACCCGAAGGGAACGACCTATGTCCCCATCTAGAGGGGTAAATCGACCAGTGGGGTCCAGGCCACGCCGCTGGGGCTGGGGATCGGTTAAACGATACTCAGTTTCGGCTGCAGTGGGGCCCCATGCCAAGAGACACCGTGCTTGCCTCCAGAGTGTCCTGGGTTTCTTGGGTTTCGATGTTTCTCTCATGGAAAGCGTGGCGTCCCCACACCAAGAATCAACGGACGTCTTATCCTGGGGTCTCAAGGTTGGGTTTCTCGTGGAAGGTTTCTTCTGGACTGGCCTCCGCTGCATTCTGTATTCGATCTGGCCCCGGCTTGCTGGGAATGCCGGAGGCCCCGTGCCGGGAAGACCGCGGCGTTGGAGTTCAGGATGCAGCTCTGCACGCCACCGTCGGGCCCAAGATCGGTGCACGGCAGGCTCGCGTCCAGCCGACGCAGCGGCGACCCCGCCACGGGCGTTCGAGGCTGAACGCCGCCAGTGCAGGCCAGCCACCACTGGGGGAGCTGTGGTCCTCACCCCCCCGGGGGGACCCATCGATTTCGACACCCCTCTCGAGAGCTCGTCGACGCGATGGGTTCCCCCAGGGGGGTAAGGACCACAGCTCCCCCAGTTATGGCTGGTCGGCAGTGGCCCAGAATCGGCCAACGTGGATCGATCTGGCGATCGACGAGCCGCCCATCGTGCGAGGTCGAACGGTCCACGCGGTGCCGGAAACCACCGGCGGGGCCGTCACGACGCGAGCTTGCCGACACGATGCCGACACGACCGTGCCGTATGATTGTGCCACATCCGCGGGCCCAGAGGCCCCGACCGCTTCCCCAGGGGGAGGGAGGGAGGGAGGGGGAGGGAGGGAGGAGGGAGGGAGGGGAGGAGGGGGAGGGAGGGAGGGAGGGGGGGGCGTTCTTCGCCCCGGATCTGTTCTGGCCGGCCCCGGGGCCCGGCAACGGCCCCCGAGGGCCGACGTCGGCAGACACCCGCTGGCTGAACGCATCGCATCGTCGGAGACGACGACGACGACGACGACGACGACGACGACGACGACGACGACGACGACGACGACGACGACGACGACGACGACGACGGCGGCACGACGCGACCGTCGGATCGCCAGGGGCTCCGCGCGACGCGAGCCTGCCGTGCACCGACGGGGTGCACCCCCGGCGCCCCCCCAGAGGGGGCCGGCGGGCGGCCCCGCCCAGCGGTGGCGAGGCTGCCAGCGGCGGCGAGGCTGCGAGCGGCGCGGCGCGGCTCGTCGGCCGGCGGCCAGCCCGTGGCGTCGCGGCGCGGCGCGGCGCCGCGCGGCTCGTCGTCGTCGTCGTCGTCGTCGTCGTCGTCGTCGTCGTCGTCGTCGTCGTCGTCGTCGTCGTCGTCGTCGTCGTCGTCGTCGTTGTTTTCGTCGTCGTCGTCGTGGGCAGGGGAGGACCTGAAGGAGCGCCTCCGCGAAGCTCAGGAGACGCCCGCCGGCCTGGGTTTTCCTCCCCCTCCTCGGGCTCGCAGGGGCACCGTTAGAGGGACGGAGCAGGCTTAAGTCGGGCTTGTCCCTCTATTGGAAAGATATTCAAAAATTGTCACACACAAAAAAAAAGGATGGGGACAATGTTTTGCGTATTTTTGGACTTCGTTGGGATATTGTTTGACTCTTTTTCATTTTTCGGCCTAAATCCCCTGTAGGAGTACAGGCCCGACTCAAGAGTAGGCTCAGGAGATCTCAGTTGGGGAAAAGGGAGACTCGAGTTCGCCGGAACTCGAGTGTGCGGGAACTCGGGTTTGCCGGCGCTTTTTGACGGGCGCGTCCTTGGTTTTGACGTTCCAGTTTTCGTGGGATGTTTGCAGCGGGAGTTCGCGTCAAATTTCAGATTGGGTCTCGTCGATTGCATGGTGGGCCCGTCAGGCAAGCCCGAGTCCCCCGTACTCGTGTCTTCCGTCTCTCCGACACTGGGGGGACGCATCGACCCCCAATCCCCCACTCGTCGCCGACGTGGGCCTGTGAGCCCTCCCCCCGCCCGGGAGCGTGCGGACTCGCAATCGGGGGCCTAGAGCCGATCTATGGGCGACGTATTTTTGATTCCAGCTCGATGCTTCCCCCCCTGATCTAGCCTATCCGAACGTTGCCCCACCAGTCCTCCTCGCGGGCGTTTCGTGATGAGGGGGCCGAGCGGGGGTGTATCGATCGGGAGGGACAAAATCACACAGGCACAATGAATTGTCGATTCCCCAGAAGATGTGGGAAAATATGGGAAGTGGGGGGGAAGACAGAAACCTTGAAAATATGGGGAAATATAGGGAATCCTTTTTATTTGTGTGTGTACTTATTTGTGTGTCCCAGGGCCCCTTCAATCGAGGGTTGCAGGCAAGGGGGGTCTGAAGAGACCCCTGGGGCCCCGAGTGGGTACAACGAGGTGCACGCTTCGGCGCGCCGGCCGCATCGGGATGTCTTGCCCAAGTAAGTACCGCCGTGCGAGCCCAACACATAAACAATGGATGCCAGGCCTCCGGCGGGGCCTTCACACACTCGTCGGGCAGAACGGAATACGTCAGTTTTCTGTCCTCCGAGCGCGCTCGGCCATTCTGAGGGTAGACACCCACGGACGCGCGGAGTCCATGCACGGGGCCGTCGTTGCTCCATGTCCCAACGAAGCCGGAGGACGCCCGAGACAACGAGCAGGCGCGATGTTGCAAACATAGGCGACCTCCCGAGGCGAGGAGAGGTCGATGGCCTTCCAGCGTGCCATCGACGAAGCCCATGACGCCCGCCATCACGGTCCTAACCGGAGCCTTGGCAGTGGGGATGCGTATTTGTTCCCAAGCCCAGGATGCCACTGTTCGGGCACGGCTTCCCTGCGCGCCGCAGCGATCACCAAAAAGAAGTTCCTGGAGCCAGTGTGGAGTCCTCCTCTCGGCGCGAGCTGGACGAGGCCAGGTGACCCGATCACCATGTCGACGCACAGATCCAGGCAGACATTCGTCCTCATCCTCGGCGGCTTCCCGAAGCACCTGCGAAGGACACAGAGGAACACCCCAAGCTGCCGCCTCTGGTGACACTGTCGACGACGATGGCGACGCCACAGCCACACTTGGGAGGACTGACTCGAGAAGTTGCGGGCTCCCAAGGGGCCGGGCAAGAGAAGGACGACGGAAAACGCAATGGCGCACGTTCTGCGAGCCAGGGTCCTCGAGTGCCCGACGCCGAGGCCGGAGTCCAACGCGTGTTTCGAGAGTTCGCTGCTGGCAGCGACGGGAGCCAGCCGACGTCATGCGAGACCCCGATTCGTCAGCCCTGCTCCCGGATTCGAGCGTCGCCCTGCCCAGGAGCCCAGGAGCGAGCTCCCGGGAGTTTGAAGCTTGAACGGCTATGGGATCGCGCCGACTCGTGGGCGTCGTGGCCCCTCATCCTCATCGCGCCCGACCTCTGCGGCTGCCGGTTTCCAGCCAGGGTGGGGTACTACCTTTGGGCCCCGGCCCGGTGAGTACTGTGGAGGCCCATGCTGAGAAACACCCTGCTTGCCTCCAGGGTGCCCTGGGTTTCTTGGGCTTCGATGGTTTAGCGATGGAGAGCGCGACGTTCCCACGCCAAAAATCCATGGGCGTCCTGGGGTCTCAGGGTTAGGTTTCTTGTGGAAGTTTTCTTGTGGACTGGCCTCCACTAGTCATCAGACCCTGCGGCCTTTTGTTTGTGCCGCGGAGTGCAGGGTCTGTCTTCTCTTGGGGACGTGCCGCGGTCGTCCCCTGAGGTCCGCCGTCTCGAGAAGACATAAGCGCCGCGATGAAGTCACGCCGGAGCCCTAGACCCAACGTAAAGAGATCCAACGTAAAGAGATCCAACGTAAAGAGATCCAACGTGAAGATCCAACGTGAAGATCCAGCGTAAAGATCCAACGTGAAGATCCAACGTAAAGGTCTCCCTTCCTGCTTGCCTTTTTTTCAGCCGGGCCGACCTACTCTGCGTATGGTGGTCCCATAGGGCCCGAAGACGGGGCGAGATCACCTGGCGAGAACGGTGCGACGCCCAGAGCTCAGGGTACCCAAGTCGATTCCCCCCTTCCCCAACGAGAGGTGCGCCCCAACCACGGCACCCCTGGGCATGGTCGCATTCGGGTTTCCTCTTCCCCCTCCTCCTCCTCCTCCTCCTCCTCCTCCTCCTCCTCCTCCTCCTCCTCCTCCTCCTCCTGGGTCCTACTCCTGGGTCCTCCTCCTCCTCCTCCTGGCCCGAAAGAGCAGAGGCGCCGAACCCCCCTCCCATTGAAGGACCAGGGGCCCCTCGCGTCCCTGAAGCTCCTCGACGCGGAGATCCCCACATCGTGTGCCTCCCGGTTCGCGGCACTTCCGCCCGTGGGCGGCCGAGTAAGACAACCTCTTCAGCCCGTGGCGACTCGAGCGCTCCCCGGCGGCTCCCCTCTCGGAGCGCCCAAGCGCTAGGCTCTCTTACATCGGGGTGGTCACGGTTTTCTGATTCGTTGTTTGGCCGGTCGGCGCGGGCCCTCGCTCCCCCCGCCCTCCCCCCCCCGTGGAGTGGATCTTGGCTGTTTGGGGCGCCTGTTGCGAGCAGGCGGGGTCTCCCCCACAGGACGCGCCGTTCCAGGCCGAGCGAACCGTTCACCACATCCCCACAGTCCACAAGCTGGGCGCAAACGGACAAGTGTCCTCTCTGGAAACAGGCCATCGGCCTGAGACACCCCCACAGTGTGGCCGAGAACGGGCGAGAGTCCTGGCTCTTGGCAGTGCCTCCTTGGAGCGCTCAGGTATTACGCCTGCTATGTATCGCGGTGAGCACTGGTTACTCAAAAGAAAGACGCTCCGGGCGCCAAAACAAACAAACAGCCCAAACCATCCCCACAGTCTGGCCGCGAAAGGGCTAGTGTCCTACCTCCTGTCGGTTCTTCTTATGGGCGCCCAGATGTTACGCACGCTATGTTGTTGAGACCATTGGTCGCTCATAAGATGCTTGGGGCGCCAAAACAAGCAAACCCCGCGAGACATCCCCCCAGCGTGGCCGCGAACGGGCGAGTGTCCTGGCTCTTGGCTGTTCATCTTTAAAGTGTCAAGATGTTACGCCCGCCATACACAGCTGGGAAAAGTATAACACAATGAACAAGATGATCATCGTGAATGATCTGCAGACGGCAACGCCCAAAGAGGATCATGAATTGATATTCTCTCTCAATTTTGGCAGCGTGCGCAGGCGTGCACCATAGACAAGGTCATTGATGTGCCACACTTTGGCTTGCGCGCTCAGTGGCAACGTTGGGAGGCGGACGCCGCTTACTGCCGGGGTGCTCTTCCAAGTTGCTCCTTCACAGGGCCGCTGGCGTGGGCGATTCCTCGTTCTGCCTCGCGGTTTCGTTCCCACCACCCGGATGGCTAACATGCAACGCGCAATGTCAACGAGACGTTGTTCCGTGACATTGTCCGGCGGATGTCACATGATGCGACGGGCCCCGCATGGTCTGATTCAACATAGTTTCGGCTTCCATCCCTGTCCTATTTGTGTTTTTTTCTTTCCGCGGGGACGCATCGCGGAGAGCATTGGGCCCTCAAAAGAGTCATGTTGATGAAACCTGGACATAACAAAACCGCCTGAGACACTTGCACGATTTAGCCGCGAACGGGTGGACGTCCTACCCCTTCGCGGTTCCTCTTCGAGGTGCCAAGATATTACGGCTGGTATGTCGCGGCGAGCATTGGCCCATCAAAAGAAAGACGCTTGGGGCTCCACGAACAAGCGAACCGCCTGAGACATCTTCACAGTTTGGCCGCGGACGGGCGAGTGTCCTATCCCGTGGCGGTTATTCTTTGGGGTTTCCAGATGGCACGCTTGCGAGGTCGTTTTGAGCACGTGGCCCACAAAGGAACCCCTTTTGGGAACAAGCAAAAAGCCTGCGACATCACAGTCTAGCCGCGAACGGGCGAGGGTCCTGGCTCTTGACGCTTCCTCCCTGGAGCGCCCAGATGTCACGCCCGCTATTTATCGCGGTGGGCACTGGGCATTCATAATGAAAGACGCTTGGGGCGCAAAAGCAGGCAAACCGCGTGAGACATCCCCGCAGTGTGGCCGCGAACGGGCGAGTGGCCTACCCCTTGGTGGTTCCTGCTTGGACTGCCCAAGTGTCACGCCCGCTGTGTCGTTGAGACCATCTGTCGTTCAAAATAAAAGCGCACTGGGGCGCCGAAGCAAGCAAACAGCCTGAGGCACCCTCGCAGTGTGGCCACGGCCGAACTCGTGTCCTACCTCCTGTCGGTTCTTCCTTTGGGTGCCCAGATGTTACGCCCGTGAGATCGCTATGAACACTGGTCACTCCTGGGAATCCATAACAAGCAAACCGCGTGAGACATCCCCACAGTCTGGCCGCGAACGGGCGAGTATCCGACCCTTGGCTGTTCCCCCTTAGACTGCCCAAATCTGACGCCTGCCAGATCGCGGCGAGCACCGGACCCGAAGAAGAAAGATGCTGG